AGCCAATGTCAACCTGTGACAACTGTACTACTATCTACTAATTCGCATAGTCACTATGTCATTACGATAAAGTAGTAGAAGTAATTCAAATAGAAGATACAAATATATAAAGGAGAGAGGAGAAAGTGGGTAATATTATAAAGCTACTGTCTGAATATTATAGCTCTAGTCTACAATTAGAATTAATATATAGCGCCATAGCTATACCAGTACCGCTTATATTAAAATTTCGCTCCTACAGTAGACCCGTTTCTTAAACATACTTTTTCTTCTTTATAAGATCTCAATTAAACTATATAACCAGCACCCGTATTAACTATACTATCGCTGTTATAATAAATTTAATTCTTATAGCTTGCTTGGTGATAAAAGTATAACTATGTTACTCACTGCTAAATTCTGATGCGGCTAATATTCTTATACTATGTGAGGACTTTCTCCTTTTGGTTAGATACGGTTACTCTATCGAGGCACACGGTCACTTTATCCGCCCCGCAAATAAGCTGCAAGATAAGGGCAGCGGATTGACAAATGGGAACGCCTTCGCCCGCTTGATCGGCTTCAATGCTCGACCGGCGAAAGTGGAGAGAGCATGGGGCAGGGCAAGCTGAGGCTCCGCGTGGACTAAAAAAAGGTATCCACCAATCTTTTTTTTTTCCTTCCATGTTTTTTCCTTCTTATATATATGTCTCAGATATTTAGGGACCTCCCCAAGTTCCCGGGTCTTCTCCCAATCCAGTTACCTACCTCTACCTACCTTACGCAAGAGGGAAGAAAGGCAGGACCCTACTTCCCCAAGTCCTTTAATTCACTTCATCACACTCCTTATTGACCAATTTCAAAACTTTATAACATCTCTTATCTCACACTTCACATCTCTGACATTCTACCCTAACCCACCATGCTCGTCAATATGGGCCACCTTCACGTTCACATTCACAAGATGGGACGATCACGCTCATGCCACTTCAAAGAGGACAACGGGAGATTTAGCATAGCTTCCGCTCTCTCTCAACATATCAAAGACCTCCCCGCGCCGGCGCACACATTTGCCCCAGCCCCTTCGTCACCCGTCAAATCCAGCTTCATCAGGAGGAGTCCCGCGCCGGCGGCACACACGTTGGACTCTTTGTCACCCACCAGATCCAACTTCACCAGGAGGAGCAGTAACAAGTTCCACCCAGTAAGGCCAGCCCTGCCAGCCATCTCCACCATGAAGTTCTGGGACAAGATCTTCCGTCCAGCAATGCGTGAGCTGCAGAGGCGGGAGGGCCCATCCATTCCTTTGCCTGAGTACAACATCCGGCACAGATCCAGCTGGGAAGAAGTCGAGGACTGTCTTGTCAGGGCATGGGCGCGTTACGACGGGGATCTGGGCCGTCGCCGAGGGAAGTTTAAGGATCAATGTCGCCGGGCGGTAGCAGATTACGGCCACGTGGGAAAGCAGGCGCTGAGGTTTGGGAAGGACCTGGAATACATGTCGGTGGTTCTGGGGATTGTTGAGATACTTGTTGACGTAAGTACCTTAGTATGGAAGGCTGGGTGTAATCAGGCCATAGATATTAACCATTCTCGTCTCTCACAGGCAGCAGTCGTAGCATCAAGAGTACGCGAATATGCCAGGTCGGCTCTCGAGCTTAGAGAGCTCAAATATCAGTTTGGCCAGATTGAGCTCCTTATGATGCTCCACCCACATGACACGAATATCCAGGAAGCGGCGACGGGGCTTGTAGTTCACATCCTCGAAGCCATTGAAGAAGGTATTGCCTTCTTCGTCAAGCCTAAACGTAAGTTTCCACCGGCGTGCCCCCAACGGCCCATCCAGTCAAATCCCTTTACTTCCCCCTTCGGCGCGCCTGAACCAGGCGTTTTCATTGTCCGTCTCCCTCCAAGTCAAATGAATGATGCGGCTGACATTCCGATTCATAGATCGGCGTGCCGTGGCAGCCATAGCACAGGGTGATAAGTATCAGCAACGGTTTCTCAACAAGCTGGAAAGCGTCAAAGTGAGCTGCGAGCGTCTCAGGGACAACGGGCAGCTATCCAGCACGTACTTCATGATCCATGCTTTCAAGAAGCTTCTCGAAGGTACCTACCTAAGAAGTAATCCCCGAGCTTTTCTTTGGAAATGAATGCCCAAGCTTATACGAGGTGGGACAGATCAAGCAGCGAACAGAGGCACGCAGGGCGCATATGGACATCAGGCACAACAACAGATGGTCACTCTTGAAGGTACGTTTTTAATAATGCATTGCTTGACTAAGTTCCCTAGAACTAACATTGCTCTAGTTCCTTGTCCTAGAACCAGTCACCTAGAATTACTCGCCCAGAGACTGGAGGGTGGCCTTGACCGTCTCGAGACATTCGGCCACAAGCTCGAATCTGGAGTGTTGCGAGCCCTGTGCAGCATTTCGTCGAGTGTCCCTCATGTGCATGACGTGGATAGTCAGCATCAACTCAGCCTGGAGCAAGAGTTGGAAGGACATGACCACATCATCCGCGTGCTTTCGAAAGTGAAGATGCTGGAGGATGAATCTGATGACGAGGCCGAGGAAGCGTTCTCGGACTGAATAGGGAACGAGATCGTGGGTTAAAATCTTGGAAACCGGCATTGGCGTTTTGGTGTTTTGCTTGGGGGTTCGGAGCTTGGAAAGAAAAAATGGTTGGGTAACATGGCGAGGGCTGGTCCCTGGCACGGAGTTATGACGGTGCAATTTGATATTTCTAGTCCTGGGAGGGCTTGGAGGGAGTTGGTAAATATACCCGGTGCTTGGACGAGCTTCAGTTCTCTCAAACTATATCAGGTCATCACATCTGGCTTGCGAAGTGATTAACTCAAATAACACAGAGTAAACGACTTTCGGTAGGCCACAGCGACGACTTGTGGGCTAGCGCAATCGTAAGCTCTGCATCGCCGAGCTCCTTGCATCTCAAATAGATGCCTGACTCGGGGAATTTGTGTGCGTAATCGTAACAGCCGATCCAGGTCAAAAGCTCCTTGGCACAGGTAGAACAGGTTCGAGGGTTAGTAGATCCGTAGGCAACCTCAAAAATAGCATCGCTGCACCCCTCGTCAACCCAGAACCTACTCCAAGCATGGGCTTCATGTTGGTGTTCCATGCGGATGCTTTCAATTTGACCTTCCTCCCTGAACAGTGGGATTTCCCATTGCTGCAAGCCGACAGTAACTTTCGGAACTTGAGAGATGGTGCCCTTGTGTTCTTTCATGGCTTGGTCAAGGGCCGAAGCGAACCGCTTGACGTCAATGAGTTGATGCGCATAGTAATATTCATCTGCAGTTGCTAAGCCGGGCTGTTAGATTGAAATTCTCGAAGAATGATGAGTTGGTAGCCCACTTACCGCCCTTTGTATCGATTTCGACCACAGTCGTCCATCTTACCCAGACAATTTTGGTCCAACGTACTGTTACGATCCATTCAGGGATCACTTATGTAATCACTTAGATAGACCAATCAGAGCCGCGCTGGGCGCCAAAGGGCCGGGGTTGAAATACCGGCGCATCGGCGCCATACTGAAGGACCAGTATATAGGAAGGCCTCCCCAGGCTTCCTGAATACTGGGCTCTTCAGCAAGCAATAGCTATCACAATCTACCAGTACCTTTCGGCTACTACTCCGTTACTCTATTGCTCCATCCCAGCGATAATACTCCTGTGCTTGTAACGGTTCGTCACATGTACATCTCCATTGCAATGCTCGATCTCGAAAGCGTGGTTACCCAGTCGTTTGTGTCTCCTTGTGTGGGCCCAGACGACCCCAACGACAACGCCCCATAGCCTTGGGGGCGTCGGCATGACTGGTATTCTGAATGATCTCCACACGCAATGAACCGAAGTCATCCCCGGTGTGTAGAGCGAGTGACTGATGGAACCCTTGATTCGACCAATTTTCAACTCTGCTCCCCATGATCGGTACTCCTGGAAGATTCACGCGACAGATGACCTCAACGGTGGTGGCATCCAAAGGAAGAAGGGTGGTCGAGTTAGGATCTCCAAATTCTTCGTTCTTGCTCTGGGAAATTAGTGACTCAGGGGTGAAAAGGCTGCTTCAGCAACCCGGTTACTTCCACAGGGGTCCATGGTTTGCAAGAATGAAGGCCGTGTTGGCCGCTTGGGAGAAAAGCGAGAAGGTGGGAGGTAGGTGGTCTTGGAAATCAATGGATCTTGTTGAGGCAGTCGTGGCAGTTGAGTAATTGGACGTCGGTTGCGAAGGAGAAAAGAGAACTTGACGACACGGAAAGGAAAGGGGGAAGCAAGAAAGTGGCTTGCACTCCAGGTTGGTCTCTGCAGCTTGTCCCCAACTTTTGCCCTCGTTTGGTGACAGGATAGGGGGGAAAAAAAAAGTAACTCTGTCAGGCAGGGCTTGAGCCCTTTCCTTCAAGTCGTCTCGTTTCCGGACAAGAGAAGGAACCACCCACGATGGTAAGTGAAGTCAGCTACATATGGCCTGCTAAAGTGCTAGGCAGCAGAATTCAACGCGGCTGCTCTGGCCATTGTTAGAAAAAAGCAGGAGTAGATTACAAGTACTTCAGTAGCGACCGTCTATCAGTAGAAGGTGCCGCCAGCCTGGGCCCTCCTGGGACATCTCTGACATCTCTGACAACCAACTGAGGAAGGTACGATGATAGTCTGAAACGAGGAAGTGGGCATCCAGCGAGAGTAACGAGGTGCGCCCTCACGCTTTCCAAGTTCCCAAACAGTGGATACATCCAATCTTTCACTTTCCAGTTATAATCCCACTCGCAAAAGATTCTGCCCAGGCATAGCCAAAACCCCCTCCTCTTCCTATATTGCGCATCCACGACCATCCGTTCTGTTTTGTTGAGTAGCTCAGCGCTTTCCAACTGTTACTGGGTCACTACCTGGGAAAGCGGTCTCGCTCGTTCTCATTCCAACGCGATGTCAACATCACCTGGCAAAGCTGAGCTCGACGAGCTGTTCGCTCCCTCCATCGAATCCATGATTGCCAAGGGAGTGCGCGAAGAATTTCTATGGGAGCGCAGCACGCTCACGACCCATCTCCCTTTCGATCCCACCACTCTCGAAGTTCTCTTCCGACTCAACCTCCCAAAGGTCATTCTTCGGAGAGACTGCAACTTCGATGAGGTATTCTTCACTGACTACAGTTTTGGACGCACAATCAAGTTTACCTGTCGACTACACGACCAAACCAAGTCCGAGGGATCACCAAGTAGACTAAGCCTGACGATCAGGCAGAGCGACGGCTACGTGAATGCTGTCAAGACAATGAGCGAAGCTCTTCGAGGAAAGGAACGCAAGACCAGGAGTGAATACGTGCCTGCGAAAGGCTCGTATGGAAATTACAACCTGGAGAATCGACAAGCAACGGCATTCATTTGGGTGCGGTTTACTACTGTGGTTGAGCTACAACTTACTAGCCCCGGTCAGTCCAGCAGCACCCACCACGTCCGAGAGAGCAAAATTTTAAATACTAACCATTAATTTACTTCAGATTCCGACACCGACGTGATGATAGACGCTAGAGGCCTCGCGACAGCACTCGACGAAGCCATGAAAGATCATGAAGGGCCCACATCCACAGTTCCAAAGGGGTGTATCTATGGTGCATTCATCCCAGCCCGCTTTACCATCGGCAATATGGAGCTGCTGAGTTTCGAATTCAGCCCTAGTACCGATTCCAACAGAGAGTTCGCTGTAAAATAAGAGGGAATGGCATTTGAAGTAAACAAAGCTTTGAACCACAGTCCAGTTCAGGGTATAACGGCTTCAGGTGATCTAGAAAACAAGCTTCAGGCGACCTGTCGAAAGGTTGAAGCGAAAGCACAGCTGGTCATTCGAATTGCTCACAAAACTTCGATGTGGCCTACCGAGAAGGTGTTTGAGTTACAATGCTTCAGTCGCTTTGAGGGGTCCAACACCGACGAGAAACCAGATTGCCTAAAGAGCTTGGGAGACTGCGAGGGCCTGGAGAGCTTAGATAGCATTCCCAAAGACGAGTCTGCTACTTCCTGAAGGCTGTCAGCTTAGGTCTTCGAGGTCACGGAACATGGTGGGAAAGGGACCTATTGTCACTAGTGGTGAGAATTGAGTGAGCTACAGTCCTTTTGAGCTGGTAACTCCGTAGGGAATGAAGTTTCTCTGCCTAGAGTCAAGCATGTACTGCCCCGGGAAGATGTCGTGTGTTGCTGCGATGGAAAGGCTGTACTAAGAGACTAAAGTGAGTAAATAAGAAAACGGGGACGGACATACCTCAATGAGACGACGGAGCAAGTTGCAAACCACAGAATGCATGGAAGAATTGGGGATAAGATTCAACGTCAATGAAGAAGATGATGTTGATAGAGAACGAGCAAAACACGGTGTGAGTTGGCGCAGATCCCTCAAGCCCGTGTAGCCAACTTGTCATCAGGTAGAGATAACGAGGCACTAAATTACAGACGTTGCCGATCGGTGACAGGAAAGAGAATGAAACCGTTTCCATTCCTCGGTGGTGTCATCAGATAAAGCGAGCTATTTTTTGAGCCGAGACTGAATGAACTACTCGTCAGGTTTCAGAAAAGCGCCCCTACTCCTTTCCATCTAAGTGTCAGAAGGCGATTCAAACTCTGACGAGTACCGGATAATGTCACAAAAATCCGACACCCGAAGGCAGGCATGAGGCAAGATTGAAGGTGTGAAGAGGAGGAATTTGAAGCTCGGTACAGACCTGGTCTTTGCAACCTCGCGGGTTATCAGGCAGCAAATCACGCACAACCTTCACGAGTCGTCCCGTTTGAGGAGTAGTTGAGATAAAAGGAGAGAGAGTTTTCTGCTCAGAGTCGGTAAGCGAGTGACAGAGATAGCACGAGATCAACACTCCTGACAACAAACAAGCCATTTTGGCGACAGAACTTTTCGTCCCTTTCTCAACCCGTGTTCGAAATGATTGCGAACACTACGCACCTCTCTGTCCCCATCTCTGCCTCTAACTCCGGTTGATCAGATCAGACTGAATGGAATAAAACGCGGCGGGGATTCAAGGAGAGATCAACCTTCCGCTCGAGGGATATAAATAACCCCCCTCACCCCCCACGAGAGAGTCCTGACTTTTCTCCTCCCTATCACAACTTGCCTCTCGGTACTTCTTCCTTCATGAGAGAGCTTTCTCGCAAAGACATTGACGGACATCATCACACCCAGTCTCACTCGCTGGTTATCTGCTGCGGCAACGTTACGGCCCCTCGACCAACAACATCGACGGCTATTCTCACCCCAGCCTCACTCCCCGGCTCGTCTTTGCATCAACGTGCTGCCTCCTCCTCCAACAAAATCAACGGACGTCATCACCACGGCCTCGCCTCAATGACTAATTCTGCGCCAACGATGTCAGACACAGACTTCAGAGACGAAATTGCCGAGCTGCTTGCTCCCTCAGTCGAGGCCAGAACCGCAAAGGGCCTCAACGAGGATTTTCCCGACGATCCCAACTGGACCACGCATCTTCCCTTGGATCCCAACACCCTGGAGGCCATCTGCCGCGTGAACCTTCCCAATTTTCTGATTGACCGCCACAGTGTGGCCAAGAGGTTTAAGAACCATGGCTTTGAGCAGAGTGATCTTGGAATGTCGTTCACAGTATGGTGGCGAACCCGCCTATTACCTCGACGTCACAGTCACCCAGTGTACTAGCTACGTCAATACTATCAAGGCAATGAGGGATGTGCTGGAGAACGAACTCGCTTGGGATGTTTTGGCCCTACGGACCACAAGCTTGGAAACTACATCCTCGAGCAGAGTGATGGATCGATTCTTATCTGGGTCAGATACACCACGGTTTTCGAGTTGCAACCTCAGGAACAAGGCGACAGTAAGTAACTTCCGGTAACCTAGGAGGCATTCACATAAGGAAGATTGTGTCTGACTCTTTACCATAACTAGCCGACTGCAAATTCGCATGGAGAGACATAGGACGTATCGTTGCAGCGCTTGACAAAGCCATGACGGAACACAAAAGATCTGCATCCGAGGTGCCGAAGTCGAGCATTTTCCGGGCCATTCTACCAGAACGCTTCATTGTCGACAAATTCCAGTTGGTGAAGTTCTTTTTCTCAGAGGGTGCTCATTCCCATAGAGAGGTCAAACTGGAATCGTACAACGCGTCTCCGATGGTGGACTTCAACGGTGTTCAACGCCCACATGGGGTTATCGACACCGAGTTCAGGGTCATGTTCGACTCCAAAGGGATGGCAAAGCTTGTGGTTCGAACTGCCCACAAATCTTCGCTTTGGCCCAGCGAGCACGTGTATGAGTTGGAAGCTTGAGACATGGGGTATGAAAGTCAGAAGACAGCTCGTTTGGGTTACAACGGGCAAAGCGGACGGCAGAGGCTACTTTGTGTACGCGGTGGTGCCGTGCAGTTGCGCCATGCGATGGTCAGGACGTTGCTTCCGGGCGAGCCTCAACATAGCGTGGCCTTCTGGGCAAGGATCAAGTTCTTCGCCAATTGCGTCTGGGTTCTATCCGTGGACAGGAGACCGTGGAAGGGTGTAATATCAATATTAGCAGTAATTGCGCTGGAAATTAGATGATTATTGAAGTATTGGGTGTTATGCTCCTCTCCAGAGTTACGCTTTGAGCTGGTCCTCAAAATCGGAAAAGAAATGAAAGCGGATTGTCCCGCTCCTTGACAGCCTCAACGAGGAAGGTCCTTGCCTCGGTCTCATAAAACACTTTGGAGGTCTGACAGTCTAGAACGTAGACTTGGGAGCACGTCGGCCGTGAACCCGGAACCTATGTCTTCCAAAGACTTGGCGATGAGGAAGACTGGCATCTGGCATCCACTCATCTCCAGAAATGCACTTGGGTGAGCGTGCGAACCAAGGTCCAGATTCGTTTGAACTGCCGCGTAGTTTCACTTCTCAAAACAACAACCGGGAAGGCTCGGTAGGCACCGAGGTAAGGGAAAGAAGTATGGTCTTTCGTATTTCGTCACCAATCCGGCACTTGCCTTTTAGCAATAGATGGATGGGTAAGAGTCTGAGACATCAGTCGGAAAATCTGCACAAATCTGGGGAATGCCAAGGGGTTCGGAGCAGTAGATGTAACGGCTTGGCGACTGGTCTGTATCGAGTTCGGGCTACATCGTGAGATGAGCTGACAGAGCGCGGTGGTGATGGCAGCCACGTACATGGCGGACTTCTTGAGCTTGGCGTTCGGTCTCCGGTCTCATAATAAACTTGATGTTGCGCCTAAAGGTGAGTTGAGGAAAGGAGTAGCAATATCAATTGCGTGCCAGCGTTGGAACGAGAAAAAAGGGGAAAGAAAAGGGGGCCCGGTGCGAGGAGGATGCAAGGGTTAGGGTTGATACTTGTTATTCAGATGTAGTCAAGTCGGAGTTGCCAGCAACCCACTTTCAGCTTGTCGAACCTTCAGGAACGGTCACTGTCAGCGGTTTGCCTGGCTTCCGCATAGAGATCATTGAAGAGTCAAAGTGGCATATGGCGGTCATGGTTGACGTCGTCGTGGCTTCGGATGTTGCGGACGGGCTGTCAAATGTGCCATGCCGGCGTTCGTCTCCCAATTCCGATCTTGCTCTGAGAACTGCGGTGAAACCATCCAGTCGACGCATCGTCAATTCGTGGATGTCCAGCAAGTTGTGGATTTCTTGGCCTGTTGGGTTTGTCTCTCGACTGCTGTATCGCATCGCTGGATCGCTGGATCGCTGTGCTACTTCAAGTTTGAGTCAGTCAGGTTTTGTCCATATCGTTGTCGACGCGCACAGCGTCTCTTGGCAGGGAGGCATTTGCGCGACTCAAAAGTAGTACATAGTCAAGAGTTGAAGAGGGAAAGATGTGATATTACCTCCTGAGATTGCAAACATCAAAGTCCGTACCCCTTTGAGCATTCAGTTGTCAATATTGGTGCCAAGTTGTGTCAGGCAGATCGATAGTTCGGTATTACTCGTGTGAGTAAAAAAGGAGGGTTTTGGCCGCTAGATTCTTGGAAGCGCAGATCATGATAAGGTTGGACTGCGCCCTTGAAGCCGCGTACGACCCCTGATGGCATTGGTATCTGGTAGCTGTTTGGGACCTGCAATGGCTTGGGACATTGCGTATTTCCAGGGCCTCGCAGGGCAGAGTTGACGAGTGGTTGAGGGCACGAGGGCCCGACGATGGAGCGATCTCGCGATGGGCAATCTGCCAAGCCAAGCCCCCGTCTTGGCGCTTCATCTGTGTGGTTTGGGACCAAGACTTTTGGCGGTTGCCAGTGGTTTGAAGCTGTGTGAGGCTGTGAAACTGCGTGCGTATTACTGTCGTTGATCAGGATGACGGGACCTTACAAGACGGAAGTGTCAAGGTTAGAGTTGCCCGTCTCACAACTTGAACCAAGTCTGTTTGGTGATGAGGCGCTCGCGGGTCACGATGCCAAGCCAAGGATCTGCAGCGAGGATTAACACCGGTGTCGGCTTGGCGACCGCCCAGAGACCGCCAAGCCGTGCAGTGCTGTGGCTCATGGCAGGAGCAAAGTCGAGGTGAACATGTCCGTTCCAAACCGGTATTTTTTGAGATCCGGAGGTCGATTGGAAAGAACTGGCAATCTTGTATGCAGTTGGAAAGAGCGGAAGATGCCGTTGCGTGGACAGTTGCTGACTTGCTGTTGCTGTTTTCCAAGCGACATGGTGGCCCGTGTAGCGATTGCTTGGCCCAACTTCCTCCTTACAACCCCGGATTTGCGACAGGCATGCATCGACAAACTGGAAATGATGACACTATCAAAAATAGCTTCATGTGAGCAACGGATATCTCCATCAATCGGGGTGAGTTGGCAGTGGATAGTGGTGAACTCGTGAGCAGAGCAAGAGTCGCACTCGGCAGCAACCCCGCAGCAGATATCCTGAGGTTGCTGAGCTACAGCTGCCGAAAGGTGCAAGAGGAGTCGGGTGGAACTCGAGCTTGCCCTGTTCGTCAAGGTGTGTGTACAACAACACGCGCCCGTGACACCACACTGCAGTGGGCATTTGCGCCATTTGGGGTCCAATCTGGGCCAATCTGAGGCTGCCGGTACATTAGCCTGCCAAGAACACCAAGCATCAACACTCCGACACCACCGTTCGCTGCATCACCGACTCCCTCCATGCCCGTGGTTGTGCGCCGCGGCGGGCATTGGTGATTTTCTGGTGGGGGTCCGCGTGTCTCCTCCATCTTCTTCATGAGCCCATCTACACTACATATCCCGCTCTGCGTCTTGGCTTGAGCTTGGCTTTTGTGGTCTCCATGACGAATGTCATATGTATTTCCTCTCCATTATATTTAAAGGCCTCATTCCCATACCTCACCTCCTCTCATTCCACTCCGATTCCCAACCCACATCTCCAAATACCAACACCTATTGCCCCAAAACGGACAAGAACGATAAGAAACAAACTTCCACTGACAAGACCCTCAGATAGCATGGACTGCAACCTCTCTGAACAAGAACGATAAGAAACAAACTTCCACTGACAAGACCCTCAGATAGCATGGACTGCAACCTCTCTAACAACAACAACAACAACAACAACGTCTTCAGAGCTTCTCCTCTTTGGGTAACCCTCCTCACAGTCAGACGCATTCACCATATCTGTCTCTATTTGACACTTCAAGTCACTCCTCTTACAACAGCTACTTCACCACTCAGTCAAGTCAAAAGCAAACAAACATTCAAAATGGGCTCTTCCATGTCTAGACACCAAAACAAGCACGGCGATTTCCTCTTCAGCAGGCCCAAGTCGCCTCGCCACCGCTCGCCTACCCCCTACCCTCACGATAGGCGCTCCCTCAACGACGACAACGACAGCATCCGCGTCCTGTCAAAGGTGTCATCAATTGCAAAGCCTACTCAGACACCCACCAAGATCGCCGAAAGACCCCTGGCTCGTCAACACATTAGTTTCGAAGACAAGCCCGCTGTCATCGGCTTCGAAGTCCACAACCCCCGAAGGTTGAACCGCTTCGAACGCCTCACCAATTGAATAACGCCCAACGATCAGGAACGGATTATCAAAACCCGGATTCCATTCAGCACTTCGGCCACGCAACGCACCAGCCAAAAACCACCAAAGCGCCACAACTGAGCTGCACTGGATTTCATGATGAACTCTCGGCACTGAAAACGCATGGAATTTGCTCCATTTTTGGTCTGCATTAGGGCTTGGAAATGGCGTCGGACCACATTACGAACACGTCTACGGGTTAAGGTTCTGGCTTTGCATTGCATTCATTGCATTGACGTTGCATTGTTTACCTTTTGTCGACCTCTGTCTTTTTCTGGTGGATCGATCACATTCATTCGGCATATGGCGCCAAGTACTCAGCGTTCGGCAGTCAACACGATCTCGCTCGGTCTTGTGCCACCATCATCACCGCACGATACTGCTCGGCAACAACTCGGACTACCTCGAGTTCACCGACCACAAAATGTCAGATCTCACTCAGAGAGACCAACATCTGATATTTCAGCCAGTCAGCTCGTCAAGCCGCGCATGATGCCCCCTGTCCCCGTGTGGCAGTGGCATTTGCGGTGATGGGCTTGGCACGGATATCCCGTCTTCTTGGCTGCATCGCAGCAACGGCCAAGGAGAGCGGCATTCAGGGCACTGGACGATCACTTCTTCCAGAAAAGGCCCGAAGGTCAAGGGACATGAAGCGAGGAACGTGTGAGGTGGAAGAGGATAGCACAGCACAGAGGAGAAAGTACCTGCTGGCTTGCATCGGGAAAAAGGAGTTCTAGTAGATGGCATATGCTTCTTGGTGGCTTCTTTTGCTTTCCATCACGTTGGATTCCTTTTTATCGGCGTCATCGTGCTTTGGTGTTGTCATACCTCGTTTGCATTTCACAACAGGAGGTTGCCTTTCGTCGGAGATATCCTGCGGCATTTTACCTTTCACGACATGAAGAGGGATGTTAAACTGGCATGCAGTCATGACCGAGCCAGCTTACGGGCTAGCTTGAGAGAAAGGAACTGAAGGAGAAGACTGAGGAACTGGACATGACAGTCACACTGCTGTCGGAGGAGGATGCATATATCGCTCATGGCACTTTTTTCCTTCCGGTTGTACAACAAAAAGAGGAGTTTTCTTTCGGAGTTATGTACATGTGGTGTACCTGGTATACAACAGGATGAGTGTGCAGAGAAGGATAGGCAGTTGGCATTATTGTATTACATGGAGGTTATCTACACCAGTGGGCATCACAGACACGGCGTTATTTCGGAGTCCTGGGAACTCACAAGGGGTAGAATCGACTATAGACCTGCTCAAAATACGTTCTGCCATCACTTTATGGGCCTCATGTGATCTACTTTGCTACAATCTCTCCTCGTGGGAATCTTGATCGCTTTCAACGAATCGATTCGACCGGCAACCCCGGTTTTGGATCTACTTTCCGCAGTCCTGAGTCGGCAGAATTCAACTAGTTACCTACAGCAGAATTCCGGCGCGTTGGGTTCGGGGTTGGGACTAAGTTGGCAAATGTGGCCAAATCTGAAATGTATACCTCTACAGCATGCAGCGTTCAAGCCCACCAAAAATTCTATGCAAGACGGTGGTGATTCTGAATGTCCCTACACTCCCTCCAGCTCGCTGTCCTTGACGGGTGAAAATGATATGGTATCCATTGGAAGAATCTGATTCGCACTGCCCTACCGTAGGCTCTATAATTGTCTCCCCATTATTTTCTGCGGGTATAAAAAGCACATATTTGAGCAGTGCACAACCGCAGAATTCCGGTAAACAAAACTTGTGCTTCCCTAGTTAAGCCCTAGAAAATCCACATAAAATAGGTGTGTTCTGCAAGGGTTTAACTAGGAAAGCCCAAGTTCTGTTTACCGGAATTCTGCGGTATGCTTGCGTTTTCTGCTTGCCTTGCCGTAAGTCTCAAAACGAGTTGACCGGACTGGAGTTATGCGGTACCTCGGGCTCTTCTGGCTGTCTCCCCTAAATGATTCTTTTCTCGGGCATGAAAAGCACAGCACATATTCTTGCAGTGTACGTTCATTAAGATTTTGCTAGATTTGGCCAGCTTAGTCACATCCCCGAACCCCAGACGCCCCGGAATTCTGCGGTAGCAGCCCGCCTGTTGAGCCTTTTTCATCATCGCAAAGACACTTGCCTGCCTCACCTGCCTAAGCACAGACATGTGACACATGAGGCTTGGACTGACGGTGTTTTTTGCTGTCAAGACTGGACTCACAAATCTCACTTCTAGTGCTTGGCTTTGATCTCACCTTTGCATCACAACTCCTTTGGTTGGTCCCGTGGATGTAAACGGTGAGTGCAGGCCAAGCTGCGGCGAGATTAGATGCCATCAATTGGCTCATCTTTTGCTGGAGAGACCGATACCTCGGTGTTTGCTCCGGAAATTCAACGATGTGTTCTATCGGATGACTTTCTTCCCCTTCTATTCACGATTACTGCCCCGAAGGCTGCTTTTGGGAAGAGTCGGGTTATGATCTGATGACGCAAGCGATTGAGCTGATCTGGTGAGAATGGCATATTTTGTCGTTTCATCTTGAGAGCTAGGAAGGTGCTACGCAAGTACCTTCCATATCTTGGGAATTGAGATAAGATTATTTCTAGTCGTGACTTCCGCCTCCAAGTTCTTGGAGCGTTGGTTTACTTCGGTTAGAAGGAGCATCCGTCCCATTGCCTGTCAGGTACTTTCTCGCCCGTTGCCTGTTATCTCAGACTTTTCATCCCCAAAATGCCTTCGGTAAGAGGAGGAAATCATGAATCTAGGAAGCAAACAAGAAGTGAGGCTGGCAATTTTTCTTTTCTGCAGAGAAAGGATGATGGCCTTCGAGATGAGATTGAGACGATTGCAAGTTCCGTCTCCAAATCCTCGGCATTGTTGTTGGTCCCAATGGCAGGAGTGTCGGGTGCGGTAGGTAGACGTCAGAGTAAACGCTACCTGAAAAGAGTGACGCTCTTACTGTCTGGTACTTTGGTCGGTTTGCTGTTTACTGCGGGACCGGTTCTTCATTCGAACTACTCTCGAGAAATCAACCACACATCGATCTCACCGGCCAAGAAGTACGTCTTACGATAATTCATCTTAACTAGAGATAAGATGGCATTGGAGTCAGAATTGCGAGTTTTGGGCTCTCGACACCTTTGCGCCGTGGCCCCGCTTCCCAAAGGTATAAAGGCTCGACCTTTCTTCCACTCTACACGCTTCTCTCCGTCCTTTCTCCTTTCAACTCAAAAACTCATCAGTCCAAGCTACGCCCGTCGAGTGGCATCAAGCACACAAACCCTCATACCAACAACACAACCACCATCATTCATCAGCTCGGCAACAAGAAAAATGCCATCCACCAAGTCCGAGATCGCGAAGCTACTTGAGCCTGTCCCGTCGGTTGAGTCACTGATTGCGGCGGGATTCAACGAGGAGTTGCCCAACTCCCAGCGCACAACTCTCCTTCCTCTGGACATCGGAGCGCTGGAGGTCATGTGCCAGCTTTATCTTCCTGGGGCCCGGCTTGAGCGGCTTTCGGTCAAGGAATCATTTCTCGATGAGCCCCTTGGCTTTCAGCAGGTTGCCAGCTTCTCCTGCGGTACCAAATTTCGCCCCTTTCAGATTGCAATCACGCAGACTACCAGCCATATTGATGCCATCAATGCTATGAAGGTGGCCCTGTTCTCCATGATCAACCAACATGGCGAACGTGATCTGGAAGCCGTGGAGGACAAGAAGCTGGGAAACTTCGCCGTCAAATCCCCGGATAACAAGCTTGTCGTCTGGACCCGTTGGACAACAACCATTCAACTGAATTCCCCTGGTAAGCAACTTTGATGTCTTCGTTCCTGGGAGGTGGCCGTTTTCTAACCGCGCTATAGATCTTCCCGCGTATTACGGCAGGCCGTCCGTGGACATTCTGGCCCTTGCCACCTCCCTTGATAAGGCTATGAAGTCCCACAAAGGAACCATCACAGAGGTTCCGAAAGCCGGCTTGCTTGAGGATCTTGGAGTGCTGGATCTCTACGACGTCAACAACCCTGCGACTATCAAAGCCAAATTCGACGATCAAATTCACCAAGTGAGAGAATACAGGGTGATCCAAGCTGAGGGGGGTTTCGTCGTAAGAGATGACGTTGGTAAGATGTATGGCAACACCCTTAATTCCGGAGGCCGCTTTCGCTCTGATCTGAAGGTGACTTGGTACAAACACAACTTCCCGCTGAAGATTGTTTTCCTCATGGCCCACAAGTCTTCACTGTGGCCAGTCATGGATGAATATAATATGGATTGGTAGGTTGCTGTTTTGCTGGAACTTACATACAATTGGAAAGAAGAGGACTACGGGTTAGCAGTCACGATTCTGTCACGAGATCACCGCTAAGATGGAAGCGTCTCACCAAGTCCGAAGTTATCAACAGCAATGTTGTCAAGTTGCGACTTATTGCTTATCAGTAGAGCGGGTCAAACATAGCACAGGAGGGGAGGGACAGTTTACCACGATTGGGGATATTTCTAGGATCTCAACAAGGTTTTTTGTTGACGAGCTGCTTACTTATCTGCTCCATGATTTGCGTCTCTCAGTCTTAGGGACACCCATTTAGTTGGCAGTTAGTAATGGCAAAGAGATCAAATTGGAAGAGACCTTCGGGTAGCTAGCAAAGGCAGGAAGTCGATAGAAAACATTTCGAAGTTCGCCATTCACAGTCCTCGCTCTCTGGCTCAAATAAGTTCCTTAATCTATCTTCCTTAATCTATCTTCAGCTGTGATTTTACATGCCCATGGTCTTTTGAAGTTCTGCCGAGTCACGAAGACAACAGCAGACAGGGGGTGGGGATAGCAAAGCAAACGCTGGCCATTGTCCGGAAATGCATCCTGACGTCCCCGCTAGCCTTTCAATGTTTCTTGTTCATTGAAGGGGAAATTCAAGTTGCATCCGAGCCCCGGTAATGCCGGCTTTGACTCCATTGTCCGGAGTCCGGATGGCCTTGCCCGCTGATGTGGCGATTTGATGGAACGCGATCCGAAAATCCGCATGGAAGAGCGACTCACTCGGAAGCAAAACATTATTCCATGGATCGAGGTTGATAGTTTTTGAAATGCAGGTGCGCTAAACTCCGGGGCCCCTGTTTTCTGTATTGCTTACCTTTGGTAGGTACCTAGCTGTCTCTTTCCTGTTTTTGATGTGACTGCAGGCGCATGTTGGCATCGCGATGTCTTCAATTTCATGTACCTCTAGATATGCTGTCATCCCGACAAGCAAATGAGACACTTGACCTTTTCCACGCCGTGGAAGTATCAACTGAGTGGAATTTATTCTGGTCTTGGCCATGTGAAGCTTAAATATCCAGGTCCACTTCCCGGCGTTGGGCTACGGGTGGAGGAAGTGGCCAAAAATGCCCAAGGGAGTTCCAAGTGTCTGCCAAACTTTCATCTTGATTGAGGGCACCTCAACCATGAAGCCCGGGCGTACCTTCCACTTTTCATCGGATGGCTACAAAGCAAACACTGACGCACATAATAGCTTGGACAAAATGATTCAAAACATCAAACGAAATACACGCACTCCCCATTTCAGGCAGCAGGACTAGTCAAATAGTGTCCAAGACAATAACAGGGCTGGATAGACTCACTTCTTATTCACTACAAATTCAGCAAGGTCAGCAATACCAAGGCCCCATTCACCAGATGCTTTCTCGTGTATATATTTTCTCATTCTGCCATTCTCCCTCTTCTCTGAGGAATCACAATCAACATCACCCCCTTCACAACAGCTTCTCCCTCGCGCTTTCTTCATCACAAAGCAACTCTTGCTCTTTCCATCTATCAACACCTGGCCAAACGACGAACACACTTTCCTCAAACGTCATATTCACTCGGCGCAAAGCATTACCGCCCTACCTCGCCCTTAATCAGCCACGTCTCACCTGCGTGAGTAGTGAAGGAAAGTATTCACCACCTCACCAGCCTTTCGCGCCTTCCCAAGCGTCCATACTCGACCGCATCACTCACCGAACACTCCACAGCCAGCTCACCAGTCCTCCTTTACCCCGCCAAAACTGCCATCAAAGAACATCACAGAAACGAGACACAAAAGAAAATAAGTCAAAATGGGTCGCTCAGGTTACGAAATGCCCAACAACCGCTCTTCCATGTCTGATCCCGACGCGCCGCCTCCCCGCAGAGCCGGTGTGGGCTTAATTGGCCCCAGCCCCTCCTGGTCGGCACAACAAGACCCCAAAGGAAAAGGGAAGGAGCGCGCTGATGCACCTCCTGCTTCATCTGATGAGGCTCAGCGCATTCCTAATGCGCACCTTCCTCCGGTTAGACGGAGCGCGGATTTCCGCGAAGCTGTCATTGAGCCTTTCCCGGTTCTGCCTGAGAGCAGGAGGCGCCACCGTGGATTTGGACTTGACGTGGGTCCTCGAACCTACACTCCGGTTGCCGCCGGAGGTGGTGGTGGTGCCAGTCGCGAGACTCACGCTCGTCCTCGAGCATTGGAGCTGAGGGGTGGCAGTAGCAACCAACCCATTGATGTCGACATGGGCGGCACATCCGCTTCGTTGTCGGCTGGACCAGGTGGCGCTGACAACGGTGATGGTATCGACGATGATGACCTGGAGACTCCTCGCGCGTCCCAGTTCGCGTTGCCGGATTATTCACCCAGGACTGCTTCTCAGTCTTCGCAACACCCTTTACAACCTCAACACTCGCAAACTTACTACCAGGGGAACAGACAGTACAACAATCTCCCTGCTCCTCGACGCGTCCTCCCCTCACAAGCCTCTCAGTTTGGCCTCGCCGCCAATAACAACAGCAGCGGTGGTAGCGGCAACTTCCAGTCCCACTCCCAGGCCTCGCAACCGGCCTTCAACTTCAACAACAACCCTCCTCCGTCTTCGTCTAGGCACAATGCCTTTACCTCAGGTACATCTCAGCCATCTCAGTTGTACGGTTCGAGTGGCTACGGAACTGGCGCGTACGGTTTGGACTCCTCCTCCTCCTCGTCCTCATCCTTTGGAATGAACAATGCAAGGGGCATGGCAACCCCCAACCCAGGTTCGATGGGTTACCCCCCGGGACTGGGCCCAATGTCTGCAGCGGCAAGCAGCAACCCCAGGACCGCCTTCAGACCACCGTCCGGATCCAGCTCCGGATCCAGCTCCGGATCCAGCTCCGGCTCCAGCTCCGGCTCCAGCTTCGGACAGGGACAGGGACCGGGACCCAGACTCGAGGACCGCAACTTCTCTTTCTTTCCGCCGCAACCACCAACCCAGGCCGAGAAAGACCGGCGCAGAAAGGCGGCTCTGGATGCCGGGTTTGAAGAGTTGTTGGCTAAGAGGCAGAAGAGGAACCACTAGAGGAGTGAACTTGTTGTGAGCAGTTCCAGTTCTTCTTCTGGTGTTCACGGACGTGATACTAACTACCTTAGTCGATTTTGCAGTGTTTCTTTCCGCCCGCCAACCGAGCACATAGTTGGTTGCATCGGATAACTTGCCTCTCGCCTAGGAGGTCCTCTTCACCTCCAGGCTCGTATCGGTCGCTAAGTATTGCCGACCTATCAGCACTACCTCCCACTCCAAGTGAAAGAAGTGCCTGCCAAGGCTCTTTTTTGCTTTCAGTCACTTTCATTTTAGCTATTAGACGCTAGGTCTAATAGCATCGCTTTTATGCTCTTTTTCTTTTCTTTTCCTGTTTTTCTTCTTTTCCTTTTTCTCGCCTTTCCTCGCCTTTTCTCTTTTCCTATTTTTTAGTCTCTCCTTTTTTTACATCTTTTTCTCTTCCTCTCCTTTCCTTGCTTCTTTTTCATCTTTTCCCCCTTCTTCTTTGTGTTACTATCTATCAGTCCATGCCTAGCAAGGTCTAGACATGGCCTCAATATTTTCCCAAAAGACATCTCCATCAGTCCAAAACGTATTATTTTTTTTCTCTTATAGAGATTCCATGTCTTTGCAAATGCGTATAAGCTACTTGCCAATGCATTTTTGACCACTTGAAATCCCTTTTACGTTTTTCTTCCGGCGTTTCGTACTTTCCATAACTGACTGACGGCTTTGCTGGTTGAGTAACCGGCACATATAAACAAGTTTCCACGACCCTTGAAGATCGTAGTCTCAGTCGTAGCACGGATCCTCGTAAAGTTCTCTTGCCTCACAGAGCACCTTCTGGTATGTATGGCAATTATCCTCATCCCTGGACAGGTGGTCAGGACTGTCGCCGTGGTTATAATTTAACTTGGCATAACGATACTGTGAATTGTTCATCGTGATTTCGAATTCGAAGTCGAATGTTGTAGGACTAAGCAAGGTGCGAATAATGCAGCGAGCTAACATACATGCCCAAATGAGGACTAATCAGGCTCACAGTATCCAAAATCTGAAACTCTTGACAAAATTGTACTTTATTTTTCCATTAGAAAGTTGGTAGATGCCGGTTCTCATATCTGTCCCGGTCACCAAGATAACCGGGCTCTGGATTACGCTCTTATATCATTACAAAGCAGTATGTAATACCAACGTCCCTGCCCAAACTCCGTGTTCCCCGCTAACAGATGTAATTTTCCTTGTGCCGTTGAAAGCTTTTTGTCTTTGCCGGCGAATATCTGTCTCTTCCAGATGTAATTGCTTAGAAATACCCACGAAACTCCAGCATAGAGCAGTGAAATTTTCTGTTCTGCTCCGTATTTTCCTTTGTCACGTCATTCATCAATACTAAAGTAGCATCATCAATTATTGAAAGTCCCAGCCATCACACGCCGCCACCGTTCCAATCCACAAATGTGTCGTGGTCGTTATTCAACAGTGGATCAGGCTCAGTATCGTATTCCCTGGACTTCTCTGCCTGTATTTGAAAGAAAATAGGTGTGCCTTCGTTTTGTTGTGCAGATTGCGAGTATGACGAGCCTGACTCGTCCGGATCAAGGGGCTGCTGTGACAGGCTGTTATACATGTCATCGAAATGCTCAGAAGAACCATCGACATAATTGGGATAGAACTGAGGCTCGCTAACCATCTGGTTTACAACCGCCGTGGAAGATTTCGGGGGAGCAGCGAGGTGGCCTGGCTGCGTCGTCGACATTACGGACATTTCTGACTGGGGAGTAAGAGGGGCATTGGATCTGGTTGAGGCAACCGAGGACTGTCGATAACGACGCTGCATCAACGTAGAGTTGTCGAAGTTATCTTGGCCAAAGGTTGGGGTGAGAAGTCCCGATAGCGGAGGTGTGCCATCGCCGACGCTTGGTGTGAGAGCTGGAGGTGTCGAGGTCTCGGACATGGACGAGTTTCTTGTGTGAGGACCGGCAGGGCGGTCGGAGACAGACATGGATGGCGAGCTGGTCGATCTGGGTAGGACAGCAGAAAGTGACTGTGTCCTCTGTCCAAGGCCTTGAGGCATATCAGAGTTTGTTGAGTTTCCCGAGTTTGCTGATACTAAAGGGACGTTTGGGGCCGACTGTGTCCTCTCGTGGAACTGCTGCATGCCATGGGTTGGCGGAAGACCGTAAGAGGGAGCTGAGCTGATGGTCATGGTCGACATTGTTCGCGGCTGCTGGGGCATGGACATGTACTGTGGGACAAGGGGCATCGCCGGCGGTCGGTTTAGAGTTGGAAAGGCTGCTGCAAATTGGGCATCGACCCTCTGGTAATGCTGCTCCAAGGCATAATCCTGAAAGTTGGCGGCGGCATATGGTAGCCGGGCTGTTCTGGGTTCCTCTTCCTCCTCGTACATGGCGTCGTTCAACACAGCCTCAGTGGTGATCTTGAAGCCCTTGCCGGTACGCTTCTTGTGGATTTCAGACGCCAACCTAGCCGAATGGATACGGGCCTCGAGACTGCGGTCTGAGCGGCGTGATGCCGCGACATAGGCCCGCTCCTGGTTGGCTTCATGGGTCCGAGCATCTTGAGGCTTTGGTAGGGTTAGCATGCCTGGTCCTGAATTTCTGGGGACTGTCGAATGGTCGACGTACCTTGGCCTTTGGCTTCTCTGTTCGACCTGCTACAACCTTTGATCTAACCTTCTCTGTTGTGTTTACCTCGATGCTTTCCTGTGTTGTCGGGGCTGGTTGGCTGGATTGGGAGATGCTCCCTCCCCTTTGCTTGTTGGCTCTCGGATCTCTCGGTGCCATGGTTAATGCCTGTCAAGGAACCCTCTCTCTGGGCTCTGTTCATACAAGTATACACCGTAGGCCAATGGGTGGTAGTTTGCCCAGGCTGACTACACAGGACCCGAGAGACAGGATATCTGTGCCTAGACCGAGCCGTGCCTCGAGAATGGTGTGGGTTGTCGGGCAGTGGCTCGCCAAGTGTTGTTTCGGAAGTCGAGGAATTCACACACAGCCTTTGAGAATAGTAGTAGTAGGTTTGATGGCTGTCGAAGCTCGTGGGCGGTCGTAGTATCAAGCCGAAATTGGGAGCATGAGAAGGGCGAAGACAGGGTGAATAGTCGGAATGGTGGTTGTGGATTGTCGACTTGGATGTGTACCGGTGGGAAAGGATTCGGGACAGGCGGGGGTTTGGTAGGAGAGCAAACGGTGTTTTATTTCGACGCTGGGAGCCTGACGTGTTTGCAGGTCTGTTTCCAGTCAGCACGGCGAATGCGTGACGAACCCGCCCAGATCGGGATCTGGGACAAGTCAGTGGTATCTTTGACGCAAGCCTGCAAGGGCGAGCGGAGACAGCCTTGGAGGTGGAGAGGGCAGGTGCCGGGTACCCTGACTCTCGCTCTCTGCGCAGGGGCAATACCGGTAATTGATCTGTGACCCCCTCGCACTTGCTCTGGTTGCCTGGTACGTACCGCTAGCTGAGGCCCGCCTACAGTACGTACATGCCAGATCCGTAGCTTCGGCCTGGGGCGAGTTCAAAGTCGTGTCTCTCGTGCCTGGCTCCTTGTTCCTGGAAGTGCTCACACTAGCAATAAGTGTGGAGGTACCTAACAGTTGCTCCGGATGGGGGAACAGGATTGGCCTATTTGGCGAGTTTCTAGTGTACGGTACCTCTACGGAAACTACTGTGGCTGGCAACAAGGGCGACAAGAGGGACGGTGGCTGCCATTGGGACAACTAACAAGGCGTACAGTAGGAACCTCAACTGAGGCGGCGCTGGTTCCGTCCAGAGTTCTATCCAACAATCGATCCACAGGGCCGCTGACA